GGGGGCGACCGCGGAGGGAAAGGGCCCCCCGGAGCTGGGGCACCCCAGCCCTCGCGGCGGGGCCGGGGCGGGACCCCTGCACACCCAGCTCTCCCTCGCCGCGGCGGGGGCCTGGCCTCTCCCGGGAGCCCAGGTGGGATCCCGGGCCTCCCTCGTGAGCCAGGACGGGTAGGGAAAATCACATGTTCCCAGAGACGTGGTCGCACAGAGTTTACGATCCTGGCGTCCTGAGTTCTTGATGAAGAGGCGCGAGCCGCGGTAGATGTTACTTAAAAATAGAAAGTCCCAGTTTTGTCCTCTTGGGCTACACTGCGGGCTTCCTGGGGTGTCCTCATTTCCTGAGCTCGGCGCCCAGCTCGGGGCCTAAGCTGTTCTTTTTTTTTTTGCACCCGAAGGGCTGGGGACTAATCTTTGGCCAGGAGAGTGTGGACCTTGGGTTTCACCGGCCATTTTGGGTCTTGGTGCTGGCTCCTTTAAGACTTTGTGTAGGCCAGCGTTGTGGCGTAGAGGCTGAGGCAGGAGGATTGCTGAGTTCGAGACCAGCCTGTGCTACATAGTGAGACCCTGTCTCCAAAAAAAAAAAAAAAGAAAAAGACTGTCACCCTTTTCCTCCTGAGTGACTTAGCGTTTAAATGGAATCAGCAGCCTAACACTTTTTGGTTTTTTTCCGGTACCGGGAATCGAACTCCTGACCTTGCGCTTGCCAGGCAGGCGCTGTGCCGCTGAGCTAAATCCCCAGCTAAGTCCCCAGCCCCTAACCCTTAGGTGAATTACGGCACTTGGCCTGGGCTACAGCTTGCCCAAAGCGCGTCTCCTGGCTTAATCACCCTGCACTTGCTAGAACCAGCCTTCCTGAGGCGTTGGTCAGCACCTAGGGGGTGATGACCAGCCAGGAAATGGGTGTAGGGAGAAATCTGCTTGAGGACAGCTGGTCCAGGCTGCGTGCACGCATGTAATCCTCGTACCCTGGGAGGCTGAGATGAGAGGATTTCAAGTTTGAGCCTGGTCTGATCAGTTTAGCAATGTAGGAAGACCCTGTCTCAAAAACTTTATAACAAGCTGGATGTGGTGGCATACACTTGTGACCACACTTCAAGGCCAGCCCAGGGTACATAATGAGACCTTGTCTCAAAAATAATTTTAAAATGGGCTGGGGTGTAGCTCAGCACAAAGGCCCTGGGTTAAAAAAAATTACGGTTCAGGAGGCTTAAGAATAGAGAGTTTTGTGCCACTAGGGATTTGCCTAAAATAGATGCCCAGAGAGGACCAGGTGAGGGCAGAGCCATGGGCACTGGGTGGGAAGGTGGCGTCTGGGTAGACCTGAGCGGTGTGTGGTCACTGACTTAATCACAGCCGCACTGGAAACCTGAGCTCATCTCTTTAGAGACCAGGCAAGCAGGTTACCGACTTCCCCCGGGAATAAGTGGCGGGGTCAGGATTTGAATCCACAGGGATCAGACATCAGTGCTGTGGGATTTCCGGGGACCAGGTTAGTCAGGGCTGACCTCAGCCTCGGTGGCTTACATGAATGTGCATAAGTTCGCAGTTCACACGTGTGAGCTGTGCTGGCTTTCGAGGCTCAAAATGAACTCCGGCGGTAAGGTCCTACATCCTCGAGGCGGGTCTCGGCCACTGTCAGGCGCCTGTGTGCTGGAGCCTGAGGGGCCAGGGTTGCCAGGTGGCACTCAGGACGTCCAGTTGGACTTCAGGTCAGCGGCGGGTTTTATGATGTCTCCTGCAGTATTGGAGGCATCGCTGAATGCTTCATGTTCTGAAATTGAGAATTAACTGTGGATGGCAGCTGCTGACTCTATGCACGCTCACAGGCGCTAAAGCAGCAGCTGGCTTCTGCACCTGGGGCCCGAGTCTCACCCACCCCCACTCTCCCTCTGCCAGTCCTTGGGCAATGGCTGAGTCTCTGCCTTATCCAGCTCAGCCAGAGTTGAAGAGTAGCAACTGCCCCAGGCCCTTTGCACAAGGGCCAGGCCCTAAGCGAGCCTATCCTGTAGCCCAAAGGGACCACACCATGCACTGCCCTGCCTCCCCTCCAGCGTGTCCCACCTTGGCACTAGACTGGTGTTGATCTAAGTGTTCACCTGCATTTGGCCTGGGGATGCCACTAAAGCCCTTCCTCCCACAGGTCCTCTTGGCAGGGATTGAACCCAGGACCTTTGCACTGAGCTGCATCCCAACCCTAGTTTTTTCGTTTTTTTTGAGGGGGAGAGGGACGGGGTCTCATTAAATTACTCAGGCCTGGTTTGAATTAGTGATCGTCCTGCCTCAGCCTCCCAGACTGCCAGGATTAAGGGCGTGTGTGCCACCACGCCTGGCTGAGAATTTTGGTCTTGGTCCTTGGTTTCTTTTTGGACTTCTCCTCTCTGCAGATTAAACTTCCCCTTGTCCATCCACCCTTCCCTTGCTCTTCCAGATCCTGACTGTGCTACTGGGAGGCTAGAGCACCGGCCTTGGGGGCCAGAGAGACTGTGTTCAGCTTTGTTGCTTGTTAGCTGTGTGACCATGAGTAGGTGTCATGACCTCTCTGGGTATCAGCTGATGAAAGGATCCGGTGCTCTGGGAGGTAGCACACTGCGTGGGCTAAAAACTCAGGCAGAGAGCTGTGTTCATGAGCTTTATGATGGGTCTCCCCCACATGGTTCTCTGGTGCTGCGGGGCCAGGGTTCACAGCAGTGTGAACGCTGGGGTGGGGGGGGCAGGTGTCCCCTGTCCGGCTGACTCCATTTCACAGTGAGGCCTGAGCTAGCTGTCTTTTGTCCCCACCTGCATCTTGTGACCCTGCTGCCTGGCACTGTAGTGAAAGTCCAAGTGTCTGGCTCCCCATTCCCTCCCAGGCCAGTTCTGCTCCTCCTTCCGCAGAGCCTGGGTCCCTTGTTTCCAGAAACTTCCCCACACTTCTGTTGTGTCCTCTGTGAGTTGCTGGCCCTCCTCTTCGGGGCTGCCAGAAAGGGCAGGGCCGGCTTGGCTTAGTTTCCACCTAAGCTTTCCTGCACATTAGGTCTGTGTGGGTTGGAGAAGGGTTACCCTCCCATTACAAAGATGGGGAAACTGAGGCAGGTGGTGGGTAGTTGTCCGTGGGTTTTTTTTGTTTGTCTGGAGCTGAAGAGAAATGACCATATGGCTCAGGTTTTCTCTCAGATTTAGGAAACATCGGTGATAATCTCAAAATTAAATGGATGAATTAAATTGGCCAGGACTTGCAGGGCCAGGAGACTGCTGTTGGTGCAGACCTAGTGATATAGGGGAAAGAAACTCCCAACCTGCTAGATGTCTGGCACGAGTTCGTGTTCTCTAAAAGAGAAGAATGAATTTTAGGAACAGTGGAGGTTAAGAGAATATATTTACTGGGGGAACGAAAGCTTCTGTTCGAGAGAGGAGGGGGAAGGAAACGGAGAGGAGGAGGAAGAAAGACATAGAAGGGCTCCTGTGTGGGTTGCCAAGGAACCTGCCTTTTCTAGGGACTTTTTTTTTTTTTCCCTAGGGACTTTTATAAAGCAAATCCACTACATGAGGAGGGTCCAAAGTGGGAAACCTGGGAAATCTCAAGGTTGGCCTGAGGTGGGACAAAACTATGGTCAGCCAATAAGATTACGAGTATAATTGTTCAGGTATAATGAATTAAATTGGGATTGAATGGGGAAGTGAGTCACATAGCAAGCAGACAGGAATCTAGAATTGGGGCCTTTCCTGTAGGGGGTTGGGTTAGTGGCTCTTCCTGGCTTTTTCAAGGTGATTGATACCTATTTAGAAGATCAATCCCTGATGTCCGTCCCTAGGGAGGTGTGTGGCTGCATTTGTTTGATCTTTTGTCTTGAGGTCCGGCCCACAGCGGAAGTGCCTGTCTCCCACAGTTGCAAGGTGTCTTGTCTTCTGTTCTGGCTCCTTTGAGGGCCTGGCCCTGTCTGTCTATAATATTTCTAAGAGCAGAATACATTTACTGAGGTAAAGAAAGCTTCTGTCTAAGAGAGGGCCGGAAGAGGGGCCCGAGTGGGTTACCCAAGACTCTGTCTTTTCTAGGGACTTTTATACAGCAAAACCACGAGGTGAGGCGGGTTCAAGGTAGGGGAAAATGGACAAAACTGTGGTCAGCCAATAAGAATTGTTGAGGTAAAAAGATTAAATTGGGATCAAATGGGGAAGCAGTCACGTGCAGGGGCTTTTTCTGTAAGGGGTTGGGTCGGGGATTCTTCAAGGTGATTGCTACCTATTTAGAATATCAATCCCTGATGTTTACACCCAGGGAGGTATGTGGGTGCATTTGTTTAGTCCTTTGTTATGATGTCTGGGCCACAGCAAATTCAAATCTTGTCTTTCCTCTCGGCTCCTTCCAGGGCCTAGCCCTGTCTGACTGCCTATAATATTTCTTTTTTCTTTTTTTTTCCCCTTCGGTACTGGGAATCAAACTCAGGACCTTGCGCTTGCCAGGCAGGCGCTTGTGCCGCTGAGCTATATCCCCGGCCTGTCTGTAATATTTCTATCTAACTCAGCTGCCTGCAACACTAGTGTGGGCGTGGCCTGGGTACAGGGCCCAGAGCCGGCAGTGATGCTGTCTCGCAAGAAGTCACAAACTTGGGGAGGGTGGGTGTGGGTTTTCCAGAGGAACGAGGTGGTGTGAGCCGTCTCCTTCGCACCTTCTCACAGTCAACAGTGAGCTCCAGAACCACCAGTGTAGACCCAGGGGCTGTGCTTACTCTTAAGATAAAGACCAGATTCCCCAGCTTCCTGTCCCACCCTCCTCCCCTCTCTGTCCTTCGGCTGTAGCCATGTGGGCCGCTCTACAGTTTCTAGAACATTCCAGGTGCTCTCCATCCCGTTTAGCATCCTGCTCACCACCTTCATCTTGGCCCTTTACATCTTGGAGAAGCCCCCCAGACCCCCCTAATACAGGGAGGTTCCTTTTCTTGAAGGATGGGGATCTCAGTGGGTCCCACTAGCAAGTGTCGCAGGGGTGTCCATCCTGCATCCCTGGGGTGGCAGCTCAAGTCCACGCTCCTGGGAGCCCAGGTGCCCATGATGGCAGGAAAGACAGTAAAGGCTGAGAAAGCTCAGCACCATTGGATCACTTCTTTTACACCCCTGGGAAAGGAAACCAATGGGAGACGAAGCCTCCTCTTGCCTCAGCTTTCCTATCTTTAGAGTGGGGAGAGGCCTGTGGCCAAACAACCCAGACTAGACTTGAATCCTAGCTTTGCCTCTGACCAGCTGCTGGGGTCTGGGCCTCAGTTTTCCAGGCTATAAAATGGGGATAGCAGTCCCTGAGGGAACTGTCAGGGTGAGGTGTGTTTGGACAGAGAAAGCGCTTGGAGTGGAGCCCTGTGCTCAATAATAAATGATGGCAGAGGACAGCGGGGTGCCAGGCACACAGACCCACCCTGTTCAGAGCCCGGAACCTCCTTAAAGTTGGACACCTAGGGCTTTGTGGAATGTCTTCCCAGTCTTCCGCACCTGGAAGATGACTTTCTTGTGGACTATGGAGCTGTCTTCGGCTAGCTTTGGGTCCTTCCTTTTCTAATAATGGAAACCTGAACTTAAGCACAAATCCACAGGGCAAAAAAAGGTAATTGGAAAGTTAGCGGAAAGATAGGAAAAGCCGTACACTCTGATAGAGGGGTTCAGACCCCCCACCCACAAAGGTGGGAGGGCAGATTTTTAGGATCAGCTGGTGGGTAGGGTCCTGCTGATCCTTACTTCGGTCCTGGTGCCCTGGCTCTGGCATCCTGTGGCTGAGCGCTGCCCTCATTCCCAGGAAAGGATGGGCTCTGTCTGTGGAGGACTCAGTCAGGTAGGGCCCTGCCCTTCCAGAGAGTCTATGGTTGAGGACAGTGGCTAGAGGGGACTTAGTTGGATGTCCCTATCTATCCGGGAGTCGTCCATCTTGAAGGGGGTGAGATTATTAAAGTCAGGGCTGATCAGCCTTGGTTCCCCACCTTTTAGATGCTCCCTGAGTGATTAGCAGAGCTGAGGAGAGATTTGACCCAAGAGTTTACAGTAGTAAGGACACAAAATGAAGATCGTGTTTTGTTCTTTTTTTTTTGGTAACAGGAATCGAACTCAGGGCCTTGCGCTTGCCAGGCAGGTGCTGCCACTGAGCTATGTCCCTGGCCCATTTCATTCTTTTAGTTACTGATTGAACATCTGTAGGCCCACATGAAGAGTCATGGTTCATAGCAAAAATGGCTTTTAAGTCTCTGGCATGGCAGAAGAAAACACAGATCATGCCTTTCATGAGCAGCAGAGAAGGGCCTAGGATCCTGTCTCCATATCCCTGTGGGGGTCCCCACCCTATACCCACTTTTCTCAGAGGCCTGAGCCCCCCTGAGCTGGAGGCTGAGCCTCCTGGGTACAGGTGAAGGGCACAGAGTTGGGAATTAGGTTTGATTTTGAATTATAGTTTTGCCACTCACTGTCTATGGAATGTGGATCAACTTAATTTCCCTCTCATCTGTAAAATGGGTGTAATAGTACTATATGTGCCCCAAAGGCCATGAGGAGGCCCCGCTGCACTGAGGGCCTAACATGTATGTAGTAGGTGCACAGTAAGGAGTAACTTTTAGAAATGCTTCTCCCTTCTTGGCCAGAGCTCTGTATCACAGGTGGTGATGGCTCCTGCACCTGCCACCCTATCCTGCAAACCCTTCTTGGGGTCAGCCCTTGCCCTGCTAGCCTGACCCCTCCCTTTCTGCCGGGCCCCACTGCAGCTGCCAACCTTGGTCTCCCAAAGTCTCAGTATCACCCAAGCCACCACCTGGCCTGCCCCACTCATCCCTACACCCCTAGCTGAGTCCCCTCCTGTTTACTTTGCAGGCAGGGCCTTGGGATTACCAGGAGGGGAGGCCAGTGCCCGCAAAGGGGGCTGTGATTTTAAGGGTACAGAGGGCAGTGAGATACTGAAGAGAAGCCATGGGGATTTCTTTTTCCTTAACGGAAATCAGGCCAATATGTCCCTCTGCACAAAAGCCTCGGGCCCCTGACAGCCCCAGCTTGAAATCCAGGCTCTTGGCCCCGCTGTCCCCCCACCTTACACTTCCTCCCTGGCCACCATACCTGCCTTCCTCCACCGCCCACAACACCCCAGCTCCAGTGCCCCAAAGTCTTGGTCTGAGTGTCCCCACCCTGCCATTTCCCTCAGATCCCCACAGGGTGTTGGACCAGGCAGGAGGGAAAGTGGCAGCTGGAGCGTGCTGCTGCTGCTGGTGGTCCTAGTCCTGGTCCTGCTCCTCCTCCTCCTGCTCCTGGTTCATCGCGGCCACCGTCTCTGTCTCCTCCTCCTCCTCCTCCTCTTCCTGCTCCTCCTCCTGCTCCTCCTCCTGCTCTCCTCCTCCTGCTGCTGCTCCTCCTGCTCTCCTCCTCCTGCTGCTGCTCCTCCTGCTCCTCCACCTGCTCCTCCTCCCCTCCTCCTGCTCCTCCTTCCCCTCCACCTGCTCCTGCTCCTGCTCCTCCTGCTGCTGCTCCTCCTGCTCCTGCTCCTCCTCCTGCTCCTCCTCCTCCTCCTCCTCCTGCTTCTGAACCTCCTCCTTTACCACCACCCCAAGCCCTTGGTTTCTTTGAGAGGCGTAGAGGTCTCTCAGGTACCAGGCAGGCAGGGGCCCCCTGTAATTTCTGGCTCTTAAGTCCCCCTCTCCGTCCCATTGACAGACCTATCCCTTTGTGTCACAGGTGATTCTCCTGGTTCACTGGCTGCTGACAATCTGGTGAGTAACTGCTGCATGCACGCATCCCCTGGCTCTGTGCAGTGTCCTCTGGAGCCTTGATTGGCCTGTGCCAGCCTGGTCGGTGCTGCCCTGCTATGTTCTAGCCAGGGCCACTCTGGGCCAGGCCCTCCACCCGTCCGGTTTCCACTTATGGAGTGGGATCAGAACTGGGAGCCCCAGGATCGGTAGGGAGAGGCTTGGATGCTTCTGGTCCCCCAAGGCTGGTGGAGTGCAGCTTGGCCCCCACCGTCACCTTCTGCTCTGTCTGTGGCACTTCTGGGGCGAGTTCCCTGCCAGACCAGGACTAGAAACCAGTGAGCTCGTTTGCCATATGCAAGCTTTGAAGTGCAGGAGACATGTGAACAACTGTAAGGAGAGCAGTGGACTCGCGATCAAAGTGCAGATGTCAATCCCAACCCCCCAAGCGGAGTCTGGCGGGGCCCAGGCACCTGCTGCCTTAAGATCAAAAGATGAGCAGCGGATGTAGTCAGAGGTAACAGAGACTGATCGCTCCTACGGGCTTCTGCGCGTTGCACTTTGTGTCATTCACATCTGTGAAGCAAAGCACACATGGTGGGAAATAAAGTAGCCAAGGGCCTGATCTCTAGAGGAGGTGGGGGAGTGAGGTGGGCAGGAGCATGGACTTGGGGCCAGGGGTAAAGCACTTGCCTGGCAGGCATGAGGCCCTGGGTTCTGTCCTCAGTGCTGCAGAAAGGAAAAAAAGAAAGAAAATGCCTGGTGTCTGGAGCCAGATTATGTGAATCCCAGGACTGCCACTTACTGTGTGATTTTGGGCAAGTCACTAACCATGAGGCCGCCTTTCTAGAGTCATTGTTTACATAAAAGAGCGAGTGAATTTAAAGCCCTTAGAGCCATGCAGGTGTTAACTTTCATTTCCTTTGGATTAACCAACAAAGCAATCGGTAAACAGTGTGAGTTCGTAGTAATACCCTAAAGGTAAAGCAAGATGGGCATTGTGTCAGGGAAGTGATACTTAACCTGGGTCCCTGGGAGTAGGGGTCTAAGTTAAGATTTAAGCTGAGGCTAAAGGGACCAAAGGGGCAAGCTTTCAGGGCAGAGCGTGCACCGGACAGTGGCTGGGAGGTAAGCAGGAGTGGGGTTGTGTCAGGTGGGTCACCCAGAGAGCGGAGTTTATTCCAGAAAGGTTGTCAGCGGGCTGGTGGCAGGAGTGACCTCCTCTAGTTTACACACGGCTTGCTATTCCATGAGCAACCTGTAGGGGGCAGGAGTCGCAGCAGGGAGAACTATGGAGTGGCTGTGGCAGCTGCTCTGACAAAAGAATGGGGAAGTGGAGCCAGGGCAGTTTGCCATAGCCTGTGATCTGTCCTGAGGGGAGACCTGAGACCTGCAGCCAGAGGGAGGTGACCTGCTGGGTGGTGGCCGCCTCATGGATGGTGCTGCTTCTTTTTGCAGGGGCAGCATGGTGTTTGGAGGACCCTATTCCTGGGCCAACTTCACTGTCCTGGCCTTGGGCGTGTGGGCCGTGGCTCAACGGGACTCCATCGATGCGATAAGCATGGTGAGCCAGGAGCGGGCAGTGCAGTGGGCAGTGCAGTGGGCAGCAGCCAGGGAGCGGGCACAGGCAGACTGTGGTCCTGGATCGGTCCCAGTCTTCTGTCCTCTCCGTGTCCCCATTTGCTGTCTTCTGGAGTCTTGTACGGAAACTCCTGTGTCTCGCTGGTGGCTGGGTCCTTGGCTTAGAGAGAACCCCTATTTATTGCCTTCCCCAAGCCCAGCAGGCATGGAACGGGGACCCAGCAGTGCCCAGACCACCACGCCCCACGGCGGTCTGACCTGCCCCAGGGACTCTCTTTTAGGGCGAGGGGTGTGACAGGAGACTTGGCCAACAGGGAGCCCTCCTGCTTCAGGAAGTCAGAGTCGGCACTGCCTGTGGGGCTGCCCCGCGCCTCACATGAGCTCTTCCTGCCAGGAAGTTGCTGCCTCTGGGCATGACGGAGAAGGGGTTTCCTTCTATCAGAGGCGGATTGGATGAACCCTGAGCTACCTTGGCACTGCAGGTTCTGGAACCAAGTCTTAGGCCCCAGGGTGACAGCAGGCAGCTGGGGCGGGCCAGGGGGAAACAGCAGAGGAAGCCCTGACCCCGGGGCCTGCTGATGGCCCCGCAGCCCCGCCCCAGCCAGCAAGCCCCCAGGATGCACTAGCGCGTGAGACGACCTTTCCAGCTGGTGTGTCTGTGGGGGACCTGGGGCCGTGACGGGTGTCAGTGTCCGTAAACTCATGGTGCGGTGTCTTGCAGTTTCTGGGGGGCTTGCTGGCCACCATCCTGCTGGACATCATCCACATCAGCATCTTCTACCCCCGGTCCACCAACTCAGCCACGGAGCAGTTCAGCGCCGGCATGGCCATCCTCAGCCTGCTGCTTAAGCCCTTCTCCTGCTACTTGGTGCACCACATGTACCGTGAGCGCGGAGGCGAGCTCCACTTCCACTCTGGTGAGGCTCCCAGCTCCCCGCTCCCGGTTCCCCTGCGGCCCAGCCCACTGCCCCTGTCTGCAGCCAGGGGCTTGAGGCACAGGCAGGAGTGTGACATGGGTGCTGTGCACCAGGTTGCAGGGATCCTCTGGTTGTCCGGTCTCATGCTGGAGCCACCTTTCCAGGGTGGCTCGGGTGTGATCAATTCCCATGGGCTCCAGGGCAGCTTCTCCCCTCTGTCCCCACCTGGGCCTGGCCCTGGAGTCCGTCCTCCTGGAGACTTCCTCTCTCACCGTCTCTGGGCATGCGAGGAGGTGGGTGTGGACATCTGCCTGTCACTTCCGGGGAAACAGGCCTAGGGTGGGCTGTCACAACCTGGGGGAGCACAAGGCAAGGGCAGGCACAGCCCGCAGCCGCCACCCCGGCCAACCTCAGTGCTGCCCTGGACCTGTCCTGGGGTGAAGGGAACCCCGAGCAGTCTGCCCATCAGACACGTGAGAAAACAGCCCCGCAGGCCTTGGGTCTTGTTTGGGGTCCCCGCGCAGATGTGTAGAGCGGATGATAGGAGCAAGGCACATGACAGGGCGTGGAGGTTGGGGGCGCTGGCGCTGTGCGTCGCAGGGTCAGCTCCACTGAGTTAGGCCATATCGTCAACCCTTGCTTTCCGCACCTGTAAAGTGAGGACAGTAAGAGCAGCTGTTCCACAGGGACATGGGGGGTCGCAGTGGGCTAACGGCAAGGTGCCAGGTTGCAGCACCCGTCCATGGCACCACAGGTGGATAGGGGCTGGATCTATTTGGGCTCAGTTACGTGTGCCCGTTCCTCACCCTCATTTTTCATTTCTTTCCACGTCCCCTGCCCCCCAGACTTCCTTGGGCCTTCTCAGGAGCGCAGTGCCTACCAGACAATTGAGTCCACAGAGGAGCCTGCAGAGCCCTTCGCAGGCCTTGAGGCCAGGGGTCCAGCTGGCCGAGGGTACTGAAGACAGCCCCCTACCTGGCCCCACCTGGCCACATCACAGTCCTGGTGCCTGGGAGGTCCTGGGGGCACCCCTGACCTTTACTGGATGGAGCTATCTTCCTGTCCCCATTTCAGGGGTTGGGGCTGCCGAGTCCCGTGTCCGAGGGGCCATGGCTGCCCAATCCCATGAACTCATCTGTTCTCACTCTCTGAGGCCTGCTGTCCCTCCAGAGCACCCCACGGGTCCCCACGCTGGGTCTGTGGCCTCTTTCTTTTTTACCTCCCACCCCATAGTTATACCACGTAGGCCTTAAGCCCAGCTGAGTGTGGCCACCTCCTGGACCTGCCCCCAGCTGATGGGGTCCTTCAGCCCCAAGCTCTGAGAGCTGCGGGTCACGCTCAGCTCCAGGAGCGGCTGGCGTGAGAGTGAGGTCCCCGTGCTTCTTCCTGCCTGGCCACTTGGTGCCAGGGGCCCAGGCCTGAACTCCAGAGGACCTGCCACACCGTGGGGACTTTGGGGATTAAAGTTTGGGGATTCTGGGACTGGACTGTCCTGAGCCATATTTAATTTCCTGGGTGGATGGGCCCCTGGCTTGCCCGGACTGCTTTCTCTCCCGAGTCCCCAGGAGGAGCCTCAGCCAAACTGCCTGGGCTGGACTGAGGTGGCCGGAGGAAGCAGGGCTCCCCTGAGCCTGCTGTGCTGCAGTGCCACAGCGGAGGAGGGCATGGTGGGTGTGGCGCGTGCGCGTCCTTTCTCTGACTGCGCTTGTGAGGCAGAAAGCCGTCATGAGCAGGCAGGCGGCTGGTGCTGACTGCAAAGCCAAGCAAGCCCTGACATTTTCCTTCCTCCACTGTCTTGATCATTAGCTATAGATAAGATCCATACAACCTGTGGTTTCCAGCTTTAGCTCAAAAGGACAGAACCCCCTCCAAGTGCACTGCTAAGCTCCAGGCCCCATGTAAAGTCCAGACCCTGGGTGAGGGGTTAGCAAAATCTCAGGGCCTCAAACTGAATGGAGCTGTCCGCCCGGAGTACGCAGGGACCTCCTCCTCTGAATTGGGTAAACGCAGCCCATTTTGTTTGTTCAAGAACTGTGACCTCAGAAAAAGGAAAGCAAGTTCCTTAAAAGACCCAGTTACACGGATGCAACCCGAGACCTCCGTCAGTGCAGCCGCCACCTCGGCGCTTGCCCAGCTTTGAAAATGTGTCGTTTTGCAATAAACGCTACCTACTCCGAGATGGGCTGTGTGTCTTGTCTGCCATCTTTTGTCAAACATGGAAAGAGTGGGGGTGTGTCACCAGATCCTTGCAGGGTTAGGCCTCCGCTGGGTTAGGGCCCAGCTCCCAGTAACAAGGTGACCCGGGTTTGGGTTTGAATCCTGCTGTGCCACTTAGGAGCTGAGTTCCTTCCGTGTCTCCAGAAAAGGCTCTCACTGACTCAGGTGAGCATCTGGCCTGGCCCGGGAGGGGCCCGCAGACAGCAGCACTGCTCTCTCCCGGTGGCGATGTCCCAAGCAGTGAGGATGTGTTGGCCCAGGCGTCAAGGCCCCATCTTTTTGTCTTGGGACCACGGAGCTGACTGCTGTCCATGCCCTCCTTGGGCCCCAGGGCCAGAATCCACCCCACAGGGGCTGAATTGGCCATTCACAGCTTGCTGCTCTGTCCTCTCCACCCCGGTGGCCTGAGCTTTCCTAGGGGTGCAGCCCCACATTCTCCTGTGGCCATCTGTCAATCAAAAGAGGCTGAGTAGCTGGCAGGTGCCAGGCCAGGGTCTGCCACCACAGTGTGATCCCCAGGGGCCTGCTCCCCAGAGTCATGGACCCTTGGAATCACCTTATGAGATGGGCACGGACTGACAGAAGAGCTGGGGGGAAAGGCCATAGCCCCGGGGCGTAGAGGCCAGGAGGCTGCAGTTAGGAACAGCTGGACACTGCCTCGCTGTCAGTTGCCATCCCCTGTGTGGGACACCATCCAACAGTCACGTGAGCAGAGCTGTCCTGTTTGTATCAGTCCTGCTCTCAACGTGACGAGTAGCCCACAGTGGCCCTCGCAGCGGACTGTTACCGTTCCTGGTAGAACCGCCGGCGATGCTGGGTTTGTTCTCAGGGGCAGCTGCAGAAGGCCTCAGGCCAGGTTCGTGATTGCAGCACCCTGGGGAAAGAGGTTTGTGGTCCCCCGGGAGCAGGACCTGCACTCACATCTGTTTCTCTTGACAGATTCTGGGCACGAAGAGACCTAGGGGCCGTGTGTCCACGTCAGAAATAGGTCAGGCTTCAGAGGGTGTGAGAAAGCGAGGGAGAGGTTCTGGGGGGCGTGCAGAGGTGACGGTGTGCAGAAAGACCTCCGCTCTGAATAGTCCCAGGACACTAGGCCTATCTCCGGGAGGGGGCAGGCATCGTGGTGCAGGGTCAGGAGTCACGAGGACTTCGGCTCTGCGGAGTGCGACAGCTCCTGGAGGGTGAGGGGCAGACCCAGGCCAGTGGATCTGACTTCCTTCAAAAAGGGCTGTGCGCTGGGTTGGGGATGGTGACAATGCCCAGCTCGCAGATGCACTTTGAAGGCAGAGCAGGGCTGGATGGAGGAGGAGGAGGCAGGGCTGGGGCCTGGGAGGCTGGGCATGGGGAGGGAGGTACAGGAAGGGCTGAGGCAGGCCGGAGCTCCAGCCACCCGCTCTCACCACTGAGTTCTCTGTCCCTGTGTGTGCGGGGACGTGGAAGCAGAACACCCTTAGGTTTCAGTCCCCACTGTCTGCCATTTCGGAAACTCACCCACAGGAAGCCAGCTCCTCTCACCCTGGTCGTCACTCACCCCTCATCCCTGCTCTGGACAGCAGATCGCTCATTCAGTTTCCAAACCTTCTGGGTCTTATTTTCACAAAGCTGAACCTGCAGAGGATGAAGCCAGAGAAATTTCCCTAGAGGACATCTCTGGTCGTGTCAGCCCAAACTGGACTGGGCCCCAATTCACACCTATCCCCTGCGTCTCTCAGAAATCTCGCTCCCGGGCCAGGGATACAACTCGGCAGCACAGCACCTGCCTGGCATGCGCAAGGTCCTGAGTTCGATTCTTGGTACAAAAAAAAAAAAAAAGAAATCTTGCTGTCATAGTCTCTGGGACTGGCGAGCCTTGGTCTAAATCCCAAACACATCCTGCAATCAGCTGTGTGAGAGACAACAGTCTACATCTCACTGTGCCTCAGTTTCCTGATCCGAGGAATGGGGGTGATAACCTCACCTGACTCATGGATTAGTGAGCATTAAAAATGGCATATGTGGGCTGGGGATTTAGCTCAGCGGCACAGCGCCTGCCTGGCAAGCGCAAGGTCGTGAGTCCGATTCCTGGTACCGGAAAAAAAACAAAAAACAAAAAACAAAATGGCGCATGTAAACACTTAACAAGTGTTATACCTCGTTCTCTGTATTACTGTGTCTAAGTGCTATACCTCCTTGTCTGTAATACTGTAATACTGGGATCCAGTCTGCCTGTCCAAACATCTGTTCACTTATTATCAGTTCTGTCAATCTGTATTCAAAAGACTGGAATATATTCAGGAAGTAAAGTCGTGATCTTCCTCCCTGGCGTCCACAGGGCTCAGGTGCTTGGTTGCAGCGTGCACACCTGTAAGTCCAGGGACCGTCTGCAGAGCCCACAGGTTTTTCAAAGAACACCATCATCCGTGAGATGGAAACCTAGAGTCACAGATCAGAGCTTGAAGGGAGCTTAGAGCTATTTTTTTTTTGTTATTTCTATATGTATGTATGTATGTATTTTGTCTTTTTGAGACATGGTCTCATTATGCAGTTCAGGCTGGTCTTGAGCTCACTTTGTAGCCCAGGCTGGCCTCAAACTTGCAGTGATCCTCCTGCCTCAGCCTCCTGAGTGCTGGGATTACA